GATCCATATTAAAAGGAAGTCCAATGCTAATAAACCAAACACACACCCAAAAAAATATTAAAAGGAAAAGCATACATCAATTTTAGTAACACTGCAAACAAGACTGTAAAACACCTCGCATTTGCTTCGGAAAGGTGTGTAGAGTGCCATTTGCTATTATTATTATACAGCACCCTAGCATGAGGGGAAGGACCAATGTTGTTGCTCTTAATGGTAAAGTCATGAGTGGGGAATCGGAGGAGGAAGGAATTTTACAAGCTAGGTTTTGGAAAGATTGAGCTTAAAATAATGGTGTGACATCCATGCCATTATGTCGCTTAGTAGATATGTGAGGAGACTGAGGGGGTGAGCTGGGGAGTGGAGAGATAGATCTTGGTGTCATCAGCATAGAGGTGGCATTGGAAGCCATGGGAGGTTATTGGTTGGCCCAGGGAGGAGGTATAGAGACAGAAAAGGAGAGGCCCAAGGAAAGAACCTTGGGGTACCCCAACAGAAAGAGGGAGAGGAGTGGAGGAGGAGGAGTTGTCTGTGACACTGAAAGTGTGCCGAGAAAGGAAACCAAGAGAGAGCAGTCACGGAGGCAGATGGAGTGGATTTACTGAGGAGGAGTGGGTGGTCGACTGTGTCAAAAGCAGCGGAAAGGTCAAGGAGAGATATCAGTATAGATAATGCCTAAATTATTTTTAGCTTGCGGCTTCACAACCGGGTACCCACTGCACATGCGCGAAAGCGTTGCACTTCATGAATGGTCCTGTAGTCTTCTGGGACCTGTCACATGTCCAAAAAACTACAGGAAGGGAGGACACCTTCCATTCCAGATCACCTAGGCAATGGGAACAGAAGTGGGAGCGGGCACATGTCAATTTCGGGTACCCGATCCCCCCCACCCCCAAAAGGTGCCAATCCTTAAAGGGGAGCAGGCAGCAGTCCTTAAAGCGGAACTTCCCCTTTTGGGTGGAGCTCTGCTTTAACTACCATGATTTAGAAACCTCTATTGGATATCCTGCTTGAAATTAGAGATATTCTTGTCCTTCCAGTTAGATGTCTCAAAAGTATTAGTTGACCAGGCTATACAAGCAAATGCTTCTGTCTCAGTAAATACATACATACATACATACATACCTACTTGCCCCAATATTACTGCTTTGTCAGAAGAGGTCACGTGGTAAAATCTCGGAGGTTTGAAGATGTGAAAACATATCCAGTAACAAAATCTGCCTTATAATGGGGGCTTTACCACTTATGCTTCTGCAACAAAACTTTAAAACCACTTTCTAAATTGCCTTATTACAAGCACACTAATAAACAAAGCCCAGAGCCAATGAAGCCACCATGCTTGAACAATAGAAAGTCTAATGTACATGTCTGAGAGCACAGATAAGCCCATCAATAGATAATTGGTAATGCCCTTTGTTCACTTAATTACTATTTATAATAACACCTTATCAGTCTGGACACTAACAACTTTCACATTTCTAAAACTGCCTCCAACTACATCTTCTGACTTCCCAGACATAACACAGCCTTGGCTCAAAAGTAAAACGTTTAATAAATTCTATTGGATTTTTATAGTGCAATATTTGTAAATTTGTATTCTGAAAATCTATACAGTGTTCGATTTTCCTACTACTATCTCTTCTACATTTCAGATTCTATATTGAAACAAATTATTTTTTAAAGAATGAACACATTCTATTATATTTAGACTGAGCTAATAGCTTATGTTAAAAGACTTATATAACCATTATATAAACTTATTAAATGAGCTGTAATTATGCTCTATATAATAAACATTGTTGATCACTTCTCATGTTTAGGAATAATAACCTGCAATATATTGTGGCTTGCTAATTTTTCAAATAAAAATTAGTGGTAGTATAACAATAGTGGAAGCAACTGGAAACAAACAGCAACCCATCCCCAAGCGTAGGCCCCACAAAATGACAGAGCGGGTAGTCAGCACATGCTGAAGTGCACAGCATTTTTTTTGGGATAATGTATTTGTAAATGCTCAATGCCTAGTGTTGGTTGCCATGCTCCATCTATGAGATGCTATAAACCAGATTAAGAACAGGGAATTCACAATTGGGGTATATTGCAAAGAGCCATACAAAATTGTAAAGCAGAGAGTAAAGGGTCTTTTTTTCAGCTACTATAAGACTAGCAGCACACTGAACCTAACTCATAAGCATGTTTAGAGTAGTATCAGCATACAAATAGCAGGAAAAGTACAATGAAGGAAGAATTTCTCAAAAACATGAATTACATTCAAAAAAGGTGTAGAACTAGGCGCCAAGGATAAATTGGTCTAAATATACTGTCCATGCAAAAATTGTGTAATCCACAAAAGAAAAATGTAAAAATTCTATGTCAACCATATAGTGTGCAAATGTTTTAAAATGAAATGTGTGAACTAGAGATGCATAGGCGAAGAAATGAAAAATTCGATTCGACTGATTTGCGGCGAATTCGTGGACAATATTCGAATCGAGTCGAATAAATTCGCTGTGAATTTAACTTAAAAAAGGGTGTTTCTAGGCTTCAGAGAGACTTAATATTAGTGCAGAACACTGTACCTTTAATTTAAATGCCCTTGGAGTCTGCTGGGGTAAGAAAATAATACTGTCACTCAGTATGACATGCAGAATGAGCTGCCGTCGATCTTAGAATCACCGCACACTCTCACTCATTTGGCCAAAGACCAGTGTATTAGGGACGGGGGCGGTGAGGCACAGCAATGGGAGGGGCCAAAACCAATGTGTTGGAAAAAAAAATGCCACAGTGTGTGGCGGTGGACATGGCAGCAGCAATGTAGGGAGGCCATAACTGTGGACAACCTATGACAAAATGGAAACCAGCAGGAGTGGAGGAGACCTGAAAAGTGGCACATGGCAGAGTGGGAGCAATGGGAGGCGGTACAGGGACCCAGGTCAGGTCACACTGTGGGCCCAGCAGCAGCCTGTGACAAGGCGGTCACGGGGGCACCATGGCAGATTTGGGGCCTGGCAGCACCTATGGGAGGCCTGTAACCTGCCCAGCAACCTATGACAAAATGGAAAACCGCAGGAGTGTGAGAGACCCTTCAAAGTGGCACATGGCAGAGTGGGAGCAAGGGGTAGGCGGCTACAGGGACCCAGTCACACTGTGGGACCAGCATCAGCGTGAATAACAGGCTGGAGTACGGGGGCCAGCCATGGCCGATGTTGACCTCGTTCATCTCATAGTCCTGCCGACTCACGAATAGCGTGGCCTCCTCAAAGGGCCCTGAGCAAGCGCAGGTGTCACGCATGAAGCTGACAATGGCTGACATCTAAGTTATACATCACTGGGAGTACCTTTATCCGCTTGTAAGCATCAGGAAATCTGTAAAGGCCTTTCGGCTGTTCGTAAGGCTGGATCTAACATATGTAGTGTTGAATTTCCACCTTGTTGCAACCGTCGGCAGCATTGAGGAAGTCGGTACGGGGGCCCATGGCAGATTACGTGCCTGGCAGCAGCAATGGGAGGGTCACGTAATCTGCCAGCACCCTATGTCAAAAAATTGAACACACGAGGCAGCAGTGTGAGGAGACCTCAAAGGTGGCACATGGCAGCAGTGGAAGCATGGGAGGGCCGTATTTACAGGGGACCCAGGTCATGACACTGGTGGGCTCAGCAGCAGCGTGACCAGCGCGGTACCTGGGGGCCCATGGCCGATTTGGGGGTGCCTGGCGGCACCTATGGGAGGCCTGTAATCTGCCAGCACACCCTATGAACAAAATGGAACCACTGGGCTGGTGGCAGGCAGAGCCGCCGTATCTTTATCACGGTTTTCCCACTTGGCCACTCGAATTGCGAACCACCCCCCAGGCTGCACACCCCCAACACCTAGCATGCTTACGCAACGCTGTAGTCCCAACATGGGCCCCCTGGCCACGCTTGACTTTCTGGCCACATAGTCTGACATACGGCTACGTTTACTTCCTCGGGCGCTTTCTTGACGAAAAATTGCCACACCAGAGTTAGGGAATAACTTTGCCTCCGCTACTCCTCACTGGCTGACTGCTACTTATGCCCCATGCACACCTATGCACGCACTACTGGCCGTGGTGGTAGGCTGCAGTGGAGCTGGTGCTCTACTCCGTGGCCGTTTGCCTCCACTGACACTGCTGCGGACTCTGCTGCCATTCCTGAGCAGCAGCAATGGGAGGCGTTATAGGGACCCATGAGAGACTCTGGACTTGGCCGCAGCATGAGGAGGCGGTATATAGGGGCCCATGGCAGGATTAGGGCCTACAGGCAAGGCAAGCAGCTATGGGAGGCCCGTAATCTGCCAGCACCCTATGTCAAAAAATTGAAACAAAGCAGTGTGAAGAGCACCTGAATGTGGCACATGGCAGAGTGTGTGCGATGGAGACAGCAGCAAATGGCGAGGCCGTACAGGGGACCCATGAGAGACTCTGGACCTGGCAGCAGCATGAGGGATTAAAGGCGGTATATAGGGGCCCATGGCAGATTAGGGGCCTGGCAAGCAGCTATAGGAGGCCCGTAATCTGCCAGCATCCACCTATGTCCAAAAATTCTACACACCAGCCAGTGTGTGTGAAGAGACCTGAATGTGGCACATGGCAGAGTGTGGCGATGGAGACAGCAGCAATGGGAGGCCGTACAGGGACCCCATGATGAGACTCTGGACCTGGCAGCAGCATGAGGAAGGTGGTATATAGGGGGGCCATGGCAGATTAGGGGATGGCAGCAGCTATAGGAGGCCCGTAATCTGCCAGCACCCTATGTCAAAAAATTCTACCACCACAGCAGTGTGTGAGGAGACTGAAAGTGGGCACATGGCAGAGTGTGGCGATGAGACAGCAGCAATGGAGAGGCCGTTACAGGGACCCATGAGACACACACACTCTGAACCTGGCAGCAGCATGAGGAGAGGCGGTATTATAGGGGCCCCATGGCAGATTAGGGCCTGGCCAGACAGCTATAGGAGGCCCGTAATCATGCCAGCACCCTATGTCAAAAAATTTTAACAACACCAGCAGTGTGAGGAGACCTGAAATGTGGCACAAGAGTCACTAGCAGAGTGTGGCGATGGAGACGCAGCAGCAATGGGGAGGTGGGGGGGGGACCGTTACAGGGGAACCCATGAGAGACTTTGGACCTGGGGCAGCAGCATGAGGAGGCGGTATATAGGGGCCCATGGCAGATTAGGGGCCTGATGCAGCAGCTATAGGAGGCCCGTAATCTGGGCCCCCAGCACCCTATGTCAAAATATTCTACACACCTGGTAGCCAGTGTGTGAGGAGACCTGAAAGTGGCACCATGGCAGAGTCCAGTGTGGCGATGGAGACAGCAGCAATGGGAGGCCGTACAGGGACCCATGAGAGACTTTGGACCTGGCTCCCGGCCCCGCAGCAGCATGAGAGGAAGGCGGTTAATATAAGGGGCCCTATGGCAGATTAGGGGCCTGGCAGCAGCTATTGGAGGAGGCCCGTAATCTGCCAGCACCCTCGATGTCAAAAAATTGAAAACACAAGCAGTGTGAAGGAGACCTGAATGTGGCACAAATGGCAGAGTGTGGCGATGGAGACAGCAGCAATGGGAATGCCGTATAGGGAACCCATGAGAGACTCTGGGACTTGGCAATGGCAGCATGAGGAGGCGGTATATAGGGGCCTATGGGCAGATTAGGGGCCTGGCACACAGCTATGGGAGGCCCCATAATCTGCCAGCACCCTATAACAAAAAATTGGAACACACCAGCAGTGTGTGGAGGAGACCTGAAAGTGGCACATGTTTGAGGCATGATCATGGCGGATTTAGTCAGTTTGTGTCAAGGAACTGGTGGTTTGAAAATCCAGACTGATTCCACGCCCTGATTCATTTTCACAAACGTCAGTCTCTCTCCACACTTTGGTGGAACAGTCGTGTCCTCCGCGCGGAGTTACAATACCTCCTGCCGCACTAAAACACGCGCTCCGATGCCACGCTACTGGCCGGGCATGACAGCCTTTCAAGGGCAAATTCAGCTAGTTGGGGGCCAAAGGTCAAGTTTCGTTGCCCAGTAGTCAAGGGGATTGTCTACCTCGGTTGGCAGGGTGCTGTCCAAGTAGGCCAAGCCTGTTGTTTGGAGGTCCACTGCTCCAGGTCCACCTGATGCTGACTTGCTGCTGGCGGCTGGTTAGTAGTTTCTCACTGGCGCTGGTGAAGAAAGCTATCTCATCATCGACTGCAGACTGAGGCAGCCGCTGCTGGTGGAGCTGCCACTGCTCCTACCACCCTCACCCCCTTATCCCCTGCTGCCATGGCAGCGGAACGCGAGCGCACAGGGCCCACAGTGTCTGAGGATGGACGTTGGCGCACAAAAGGCAGAGACCAACTGACTACATAGGTGGTTTTTCTAATAGTACGTTATTTTGGCCTCCCTCTCAGCAGGTGTGAAAAGGCCACCATATTTTGGAACGGTAGCGAGGGTCCAACAAGGTGGACAGCCAAAAGTCATCCCTACTGTCTGATGGTTATTATTCGGCTGTCGTCGCTACGCAAGCAACTAACGAGCATGCTATGGGCCATTTGTGCCAAGGAATGCGAGGGAGCGGACTCTCTCCCTGCCTCCATCTCCACAGCATACTGCCACGGAGCGTCTGGGGTCCTCTGTCTCCTCCTCCTCCTCCCTCCTCTACCAGATTGCTCCTGCTCCTCCACTCCTGTCCGCCTGAGTGGAAAAAACCACCCATTTCACACTCAATAATTCCTGAGCATCACAAATGTCCCTCCTCTACCTCCCTCCTCTTCTTCCTGTCCTGCCCCCACAGGGGTCATGTGGCGTTGAAGTATCTCGTGCGGCCACGTCTACCGCAACCCCTGACCAGCCATTGTTAACAGCATTTGTTCAAGCGGACGTGCAACAGAGGAATGACGTCGTTCATCCCCTATCAGTCCTGCCGACATCCACGAATAGCGTGGCCCCTCAAAGGGCCTGAGCAAGCGGCAGGTGTCACGCCATGAGCTGCCAATGGCTGACATCGAAGTTACACAGGGGAGTACCCTTTAATCCGCTTGTAACACTACAGGGAAAATCGGTGGTGATGCCTTTCGGCTGCTCGTTAAAGGCGGTCTAACATGTGTAGGGTTGAATTCCACCTTTGTTGCAACGTCGCAGATCAGGCGATGATGTGGAATTCCGTTCTGCCGCTGCAGCTCAAGGAGGGTGTGCTTTGCGTGTAGGAATGGCTGAATGCAAGCAAAGTTTATACACGTGACATTTTAAGGATGTCTTGCAGTGGGATGGTGGGATTTTAGGAACCGCTTGACAACCAGAAATTGAACACGGATGAGCCATGCATGGCGCATGGCACAACCTTCCTTGACGCGCAGAGCAGACACCATGTTCTTTCCGTTGTCGGTCAACATGGTTCCGATTTTCAGTTTTGCGCGGGAGACAGCCATCTGTCGATTTCTCTGTTCAAAATTACACTCAGAAAGTTCCTCCCCTGTGTGACTACGTTCGCCAAGGCATACCAGGTGCAGAACAGCGTGACACCGTTGCGCCCTGCACATGTTATATGCCGGTCGGGTAATGGGACTTGGCACGGGGGTGGCGGCTGAGGACACGGCGGAAGAATTTTGAGGTGGTTAGGTGGGCGCTTCTTTCTAAGTCGCCCCGGCGTTTAGAGGCGGACATCTTTGCGGACCAAGGACGTGCAAACGTGGAGGCAAAAGCGGCGTGACCTGTCCAAGTTGGCGGGCTAGGCTCTGTGACGGTGCACCACGTTCACCCATTGGGGCCGTAAATGACATGTACTGTCCCTGACCGTATGTTACAGCTCACCGTCGGCGCTGCCGTGCACTTTGGCAGAGACGCCGACAAGCTCAATAGACTGGCCCACCATGTCTTCTACATTGTGAATGCAGGGCTGGCACTGCCTTTTTTGGCGAAGAAATGACGGCTTGGCACTCACCACCGCGGCGCGGCACAAGCCATTCATTTACTCTGAAAGGTGCTGAGTCCACCACAGTGGAAAGGGATGGACTGCAGCACCAGCAAACTTGGACAGGAGGACGTTCAGCTTTTGCACCGTCGGGTGCGTGCTCGCAAACTGTTGTCTCTTGTGAAACGGAATACCAAGAAAGACTGCTGACGGAATCCGTGAAGAGGAGTAGGTCAAGTAGCAGAATATGAGAGCGCATCTGAACGAGCGGAAGATGCCAACGACGAGACAACTCCCCTCCAGGCAGAGGTGTTGGAGCCTTGACTGGCTGATGGAGGGCGATTGACGTCGGGCTGAACGGAGCAAGTAACAGGAGCGGGTGAATGGAGCGGGGCTGGGGCGGGCAGAACCGCCGAATCTTTATCACGGTTTTTCCAGGCCACCAAATGCGCGACGCTGCATGTATGCTGCCGCAACGCTGTAGTCCCAACATGGGCCCCCCCTGGCCACGCTTGACTTTCTGGCCACATAGTCGACATACGGGTCTACGTTTACCTCTCCTCGGGCCGGGCTTGGACGAAAAATTGCCACACCGACCGCCGAGTAGGAAACTTTGCCCCCGATACTCTCACTGGCTGACTGCTGCGAGTCCTCCGTGCACGACGGGCACCACTACTGGCCGTGGAGTGGTAGGCTGCAGTGGAGCTGGTGCTCTACTCCTGTGGCGTTTGGCTCCACTGACACTGCTTCCACTGACACTGCCTGCGACCCTGTGCTGCTGTCTCCTGGGCAACCCACCGACTGTTTCGCTCTACTGCCAAGCTGCCACCCCTCTTCTCCTGATGATACGGAAGAAATTGCCTGATGACGACGAGAGGCTGCCAAGTGCGATCATCGCCCGACCTCCTCATCATAAAGTAGGGTCTCCGCCTCACTACTAGCCCCTCGGCTGCGTCTGGGGTCAGGAGACAGACCTGTCTCTAGACCGGCTACCGGGCCCTCCATCTCCTCGCCAACTACTTCTTCGCCTGGCTGCTGAAAAGGCGGATGTCTCCCCCCCCGTTCCTGACCGCCCTCTGTTAGCTCTTCCTCACTGTACAGTGGGGACTGAGCCCACAGCATTGCGATACTTCGCTTGGTGAGGGAACACCAAAGGACAGGGGCAGGTAGAGGACACGTGATTTCAGTGGGCTTGGTCCCGGGCCATGCCAACTAAAAAAAAAAAAAAAAAAAAAACGGTTGTGTCTGACGTTACCCACCCGGACCGACCGTTGGCTGTAGGTGTCAGAGGTGACCTGGGAAGAGGAAGACGACCAAGCCAACCAATCGATGACGGCAGGGGTTGTCGGTGGAGACACGACCGCTGGATGACACCGGGAGCACTGGCCTCTGGCTGCGAATAGTGCTGCCTCGACCCCTTCCTCTCTGCTGCCACGTCTGCTCGCTCCTAAAACATTGCCTCCTCTGCCACTCCTCTGCATGTTGTCTGACATACTCTTTAATTCAACGATTCTGTGTCCCTGAGTAACAATTCTGTGTCCCTGAGTAACAATTCTGTGTCTGTCCCTGAGTAAACAATTATGTGGCCCACTAAGTAACGGTTCTGTGGCCCTCAGTAACTGTTCTGTGGCCCTCAGTAACGGTTCTGTGGCCCTCAGTAACGGTTCTGTGGCCCTGATTACGGTTCTGTGGCCCTAAGTAACAATTCTGTGGCCCTAAGTAACGGTTCTGTGGCCCTAAGTAACGGTTCTGTGGCCCTAAGTAACGGTTCTGTGGCCCTAAGTAACGGTTCTGTGGCCCTAAGTAACGGTTCTGTGGCCCTAAGTAACGGTTCTGTGGCCCTAAGTAACGGTTCTGTGGCCCTAAGTAACGGTTCTGTGGCCCTAAGTAACGGTTCTGTGGCCCTCAGTAACAAATTCTGTGTACCTCAGTAACAATTCTGTGTCTGTCCCTGATTAACGTTTACGTGGCCCTAAGTAACGGTTCTGTGGCCCTCAGTAACAATTCTGTGTCCCTGAGTAACAATTCTGTGTCTGTGCGAGTAACAATTCTGTGGCCCTAAGTAACAGTTCTGTGTCCCTGAGTAACAATTCTGTGTCCCTGTGTAACAATTCTGTGTCCCTGTGTAACAATTCTGTGTCCCTGTGTAACAATTCTGTGTCCCTGTGTAACAATTCTGTGTCCCTGTGTAACAATTCTGTGTCCCTGTGTAACAATTCTGTGTCCCTGTGTAACAATTCTGTGGCCCTGTGTAACAATTCTGTGGCCCTGTGTAACAATTCTGTGGCCCTAAGTAACAGTTCTGTGGCCCTGAGTAACAATTCTGTGTCTGTGCGAGTAACAATTCTGTGGCCCTAAGTAACAGTTCTGTGGCCCTCAGTAACAATTCTGTGTCTGTCCCTGAGTAACAATTCTGTGGCCCTAACTAAAGTTTCTGTGGCCCTAAGTAACAATTCTCTGGGCACTCAGTAACAATTCTGTCTGTCCCTGAGTAACAATTCTGTGGCCCTAACTAAAGTTTCTGTGGCCCTAAGTAACAATTCTCTGGCACTCAGTAACAATTCTGTCTGTCCCTGAGTAAGAATTCTGTGGCCCTAACTAGCGTTTCTTTGTCCCTAAGTAACGATTCTGTGGCCCTCACTAACAATTCTGTGTCCATGAGTAATGGTTCTCTGTCCCTAAGTAACGTTTCTCTGTCCCCAAGTATCGTTTCTGTGGCCCTAACT